GTACTTATTGATGCTACCATCAGAATTTTGTTTGATCTTAAAGACCCACTTAAGTCCGATTGCTTTTGCACCTTGAAGAAGATCGACTAAGGTCCACGTTTTATTCTTGGTAATGGATGAGATTTCTTCTCCGCAAGCGTCTCTCCATACCTTTAGTTCTTTGGCCTCTTGATAATCCCACGGTTCCTCATTCATGGTTAGAAAAAGTCGTTCACCTTCTTCCTCTGCTAACTAACACACGAAATCCCTTAGATACTCTGGTTTCTTCGTCTGTCTAGTTGATCTTCTAAGAGTTGGTTCAACTTGTGTTTCTTCTTCAGTAATCTCCGTGTTTTCGAAATCAGGTACATCAGTTTCATTTTCTTCGATACTTTCATGTTTAGTAGTATCTTCCCCTGCTCTGTTTTCGTCTTCCTCTGTTTCTTCTTCGAGATCGTCATCATTATTAGAACCATCAAACTCAAGCGTGAAAGTATCTGTTCCATCATCTCCTGTTTTCCCTGAACAGTTCCACTTCCAGCTTCTTCTCTCGTCAAAGATGACATCTCTGCTTACCACTATTTTCTTGGTCTTTGGATTTAGCAGCCGGTATACCTTTGAACCTGGTTCTGTTCCCAGATGAACCAGTACTTGAGATTGATCATCCAATTTTTTCAAATGAGGCACTGATATCTTAGTATATCTGATGCAACCAATGACTCGCAGATGTTCGATATTAGGCTTTCTTCCCTTGTAAGCTTCATATGGTATTTGTGAGTCCAATGTTTTTGTTGCAACTCTGTTTATAAGATATGAGCATGTCTTAATGCTTCTCCCCATAAGTAGTTTGGAACTTTCATATGCTTCATCATGCTCCTTTTCATCTCTAAAAGGGTTCTGTTTCGTCTTTCTACAACCCCATTTTGTTGCGGACTATACGAAGCAGTCAAGTGCCTTTGTATCCCTGAGTTTTCGCAAAATTCTTGAAATTCTTGGGATGTGAACTCTCCACCACGACCAGTTCGAAACATCTTGATGCTTGTTCCTGTCTCTTGTTCAACTATTCCTTTGAATTTCTTGAATCTGTTGTAAGCTTCACCCCTTTTTTTTCATAAGAATCGACCACATATACCTGGAATAATCATCAATTAAGACGAATATGTATCTGTTTTGTGCCGCAGTTGCACGTGTAATGGGTCCACACAGATATCCATGAATGAGTTCAAGTGTGCGTGTTGCTCGATACATCGTTTCTTGGGGAAAAGGCTTCTCGATCTGTTTGCCAAGTAAACACGATTGGCAAGTCTCTTTCTCGACTTTCATACTCGGTAAACCAGTGACTAAGTCCTTCTTGACCATAGTCTTCATTGTTTCTATACCGACGTGTCCTAACCTCGCGTGCCACTTAGATGAATTACTTAACGTTTGTATCTGTAGACATTCTGTGTTCTCCACCTCCATTCGTACTTTGTACAATCGATTTCTTGATCTTGTCGCTTTCACCAACAATTTTCCATCTTGATCGGACAAGGTTAGGTAATCACCTTTCATTCTGACATCACAACCCGATTCCGTAGCCTGTCCTAAACTGATGATGTTGCTTTTGAGATCTGGTATAAAGTAGACGTCTGCTAACACTTTTCTTTCTCCATCTCTAGTCACAAACAATATCGAACCCTTTCCTTTGATATCAATGCGGGAGTCTTCTCCAAATCTTACTTTTCCTGTGATTTTATCATCAATCTTGGAGAAGTAGTTTCAGTTTCCTGTCATATGATTGCTAGCTCCGTTGTCCAGATACCATATATTGTCATCGTCGCTTGAGGTTTCGAAGTTGCTAGGTTTCACGTTTTTCTTGTTAAGGAATACTACTTCATGTACCATTAACTTCTCTGCCTCGTGAGTTTCATCAGCATCGGTTTCTTGTGCTTCTTGAAGCTTAGAAGCCTGTCTGGCCAGTTTGAGGCGAAGTGCCCTGTTTTTTCACACAGGTAACACACTATTTTTCGACAAATCTCTTGCCTCGTATGACCTTCCTTGGCGTCTTCCTCTGTTATAGAAACGTCCACCTCGACCTCTACCTCTGGTTTCACTGTAATAGTTTCGGTCTGGCTGTGCTTCCGTATTTGCATACATTAGTTTGTTCTGATTCTCTTGAGCTTCCTCTTCTTCTTCATGGATTCATTCTTCATAAGCTTTTAGGCGTCCTACGATATCCTCGAAGCTTGTAGCATTAAGATCGAGTACTTGCTCAAGCGATGCTACTATATGTATGTATTTCTTCCGAGGAATACTTTTGAGGAACTTCTTCATCACCTTAGATTCTTCGATATTCGTACCCAAGGCTGCAGACTTCGAGCAGATTTCGGATAGCTTGCCACTGTACTCATCTATGGTTTCGGTATCCTTCATCTTCAACCGATCTAACTCGGCCATTAAAGTTTGTAGGCGAGCTTCCCTGACTCTTCTGATCCTACGTTCCTTGTCTTAACTGCGTCCCAAACTTTCTTCGCTGTATCTAGTTCGCCAATTTGTAAGATAAGCGTTTCAGGTATTGATTGGAAGATGAGGCCCATCGCTATGACATTCTTCTCTCCGTCGTTTGATCCTACTTCCAAAACTTCCCAGACTTTGTGGATTTTGAGAAGAACCCTCATCTGTAAAGCCCAAACGGTGTAGTTCATCGAACTCAACATAGGGCATTGTATCGCTGATGTGCTTATCTCTTTAGGTCGAGTAACTGGGACGATATCTCCCATGGTCGAGTATTTGATTATCTTCATATTTGATAACAACGTATTTTGACCACTTTTATGGATCGTTTTGAAATATTTTTTCTATGTTTTTAATTGCTTTCAAAAGTATATAACCTATTACAAAAACTGATGGATGAACCATCTTTATATAAAAGAAATAATTTTCTTGAGTGATGAAATGTTTGAGTGCAATGAATAAATGAAAGATAAATATATTTATAGACTATAAAATACAGTTTATTAGCCGTTATATAGCTGTTCGAAAAGTTTAAAAAAGTTAAAAAAAATATGTTTACAACCGTTGTAAGTAAAAAATAAAATAAAATCAGACTAACAATTTAAACACAGAATATGAAATAATATACTAGTTTATATATATATATATATATAAATATAAGTGATAAAAATTTATTTATAATTATAATAGAAACAGTAATTAAAAAATATATATATATGGTGACTAAAACATCTATATTAAAACAGTAAATAAATAAATGATAGTGACTTAGGTTATCCATATGGGTATGGTAAATAAATGTATGGTGTTCATCCATATTAGAACAATAATAATTGAATTATGGTGACATGAATCATCCATATAAGCATAATAATTAAATAGTGTAAATAAATATGGCTAGTCGGAGAAATGGTCTGAAAATCATCTTTGACCGGCTCAGTATGATTGATTTGGGAGAAAATTAGTCATTTTGCTCAATCTCCTTTTGCAAGACTATCTGCTAGAAATAATATTAATATGTTTATTTTAAAAGAACATAATAATAAGAAAAAGTGGAGAAATGTGTATACCACTTGAATAAAAGAGAAAAGAGAGAGAATTTTTGTATTGAATATTGGTGTGTCATTTACAATGAACGAATACATGCCTTATATAGAGTAAAAAAGCAACATACACTACTGCAAGATATAATGATATATGGGCTCTATGACCATTCATCTATGCAAAATATTGACTTTGTAACAAAAAATACAATATGATAAAAATTATTGTATTTTTGAACTTTATTATTTATTTGAAATAATTTTTTATTAGATTTATGAATAATATAGATTAAATTCTAATTTTTAAATTGAAAATCAGAAAACATAAATTGTAAATAGTTTAACGTGATCTTAATTTAGAATCTAATTATATGAATTATAACTATATAGGTAAATAATTTTAAAATCTAAATATTTTCTTATTTTTTAGCATATTAATGATGCATAATCTAGTTTCTAATAATTAGTTGAACATATTATAAAGGTTAGAATAATGTCAAAATTATTTTTTTTTAAAATAACTTCACGCTATAGTGCGGGTTCAATCCTAATAAAATAATGTATTTCTTTAATCAATAATTGGAGTATGTTTATGTGAAAAAAATCTCTTAATTTATACTATTAAAACGGATGCATTTTTAATCTTTTCATCCAAACACTCTTTATTTTTTTTAAGAAAATTTGTTGAAATTTTTTTTTAATTTTAATCCGATTTGATGTATATTTAATTAAAAATTTTATTTTATTTTACGTTTAAACTTTATTCCGAAAATATAGATATTAATTTGATTATTTTGATTTTCTTAAATACAGCTTACATATTAAGATAAAATCACAAAAATCATTTGTTATTATATATTTATAAAAAAAGAAAAAACTGGATATTGATTTAAATTTAATTACAATATTCAAATTTTAAATATATTTCTATAATAGTGCAAATGTTAAATTAATATATTATTGTATTTATCATAATCAATCAGCTTAAAATTTTAAATTTTAAATATTTAAAATAAGTAGATTTATATTATACAGTAATAAGTATATTTTAAATATTATGTTTTTTATAATTATATTCCTATGTGTGTTAGTTTATCAAAAATATGTAAGATAATAAGTTTATTTGAGGTCATTAAAAGGACGTGTTAACTCATTTGAACACTCATAAATATATAAACTGGTTGTATAAAATTTACAATCAATATTACATTGATATGTACTTAATTAACTCATAGTCTTATTCTACTAATATACAAATCTGAACTATTAAAACATGATAACAAAAATTTTAGTTTTTAGAAAATTTAAATCTACAGAAATAATTATATTTAAACACAAAAATAAATACAAATTACATTATAAATTTTGATTTAAAAAACAATTATTGTGAGTAAGAACGAGTTTAGAATCTAGTAAATGTTAAAACACACTTCACAAATGTAATATCAGGGGACTAGGGGATTGGATAGTTTAAATTTTACTACAAATTCTAACGTATGCGTCTTTTTCTAAAATAATTTGAACACCTGGTTACATTTCATAGAGAAAGTTATTGAGTCATGTAGTAAAACATTGTTACTGAAACTTACTTAGAAAAGAATATGCATATAAAATATTGGCTCGGTAAATTTCCACTTATCGAGCGTCAATGACCGAGAGAGTGATTTGGTTCACTGTCCATTCATTGTCGGGTTGTTTACTTGACTCAATTTCAAGAGGACTTCTGCTGCCAATGCAAAAGCCAGGCCGTTTAGGCTGAGGAATAACTGTATTTTCGCTTCCAAGCATCACCATTACTGACGACATCACTGGTCTATCTTCAGCACGTTCTTGAACACACAATAGACCAATTTGTAAACATCTTAATACTTCATGAGTTCGGAACGTTGAAGATGAAGAATCTATGATGACCGGATCTACGATCTCTAGCCCTTTTCCTTCCTTCCAATTCCTCCACACCTGTGCAATAAAGATTGAATTTTTCTTTTGGTGTTATCATCAGATTAGGAGTGCAGAAATACAAGATCAAATTCAAGGAGTTCTTATCTTACATAACCAAGGAGACTAAGGTCACCAGTTGAGTTGTAGAATCCTGTACTCCTCTTACCAATTATAATCTCAAGAAGCAAGACCCCAAAGCTGAAAACATCTGACTTGATGGAGAATATCCCATTCATTGCATATTCAGGAGACATGTAGCCGCTGCATAACAACGATTAAAAACATTTATCATGAGGTCTTCTTTTTTGAGTTGGATTTAAGACAAAACCTCTTTGTTGTTTCAAAGAATGATTGCTTACTAAGTTCCGACCACGTTTCTCGTATTAGCTTCAGTCTCATCCCGTCCGAAGATCCTGGCCATCCCAAAATCCGAGATCTTGGGAGTCATATTTTTGTCAAGCAAAATGTTACTTGCTTTCAAGTCTCTATGGATAATCCTAAACCGTGAATCTTGGTGAAGATATAGAAGTCCTCTAGCAATACCATTGGTAATATCAAATCTCTTTTGCCAGTTAAAGTTAGAGCGTCGAGTTTTGTCTACAAATAGACCACAACCAAAAACGTGTTAACTTATACCTAAATATGTTCAATAGTTAGAACATAGCTGTTTTGAGTCACTAACCAAAGAGATGAGAATCAAGGCTTCGATTCTCCAAGTATTCATAGATCAACATCTTCTCACCCTTATCGATGCAACAACCAAGAAGTCGGACAAGGTTTAGGTGCTGAAGCCTTGCAATTAGTCTAACCTCGTTTGTGAACTCATCGGTCCCTTGTAAAGATATTTTTGATAGTCTCTTCACCGCGATTTCTTTCCCGCCAACTAACCTTCCCTATTACCACACATTTGACAATAAAATACTGAAACCTTGTGCAGTAATTGATTTTCAATAAATTTTGACTCACTTTCACCTTGTAAACAATACCGAAACCACCTTGTCCAAGCTTGTTGGCGTTTGAAAAATTGTTTGTTGCCATGGAAACAGCTTCAAACTCCATCAATGGAAGCTCTAGATCATCAGTGTTGTTTTCTCTTGATTTGAATCTCCTGCTTGGTATTACCACTTCTTTCATTAGCGAATCTTGGCTTTTCACTTGATCTAACGTTTCATTCAGACCCGAAAAAAACAATCAAAACATGCTTCTCAAAATATATAGACAAAAATAATAGAAATGAGATTTACCAATAGATGTTTTAATTGATATTGATCGCTTCTGCCTCCTTTTCCAAAAACAGAAGATGATAAAACTTAAAAGAAGCAAAATGCTCACTCCAATACTCGAACCTATGATTTTTCCATTTTTGGTTCTCTTGTCCTCTGCAATAAAATGAAGCATATAGGTTAGTGGAATTAAGCATTCCTCTAAATTACCATTTAGGTTGATTAAAAGTTGATGAAATCAAGCATTCCACTAAACAACGAAGCATATATTTTCTTCTGTGTAGTTACAAACAAAAATAGAGAATTTCTTTCCTCAATATAAAATTCTTCTGTACTTTCAATAACAAATTATAAGAAAAACAATCAAAATAATTGTTTTGCACTTTTCAAAACACTGGTAAACCGAAACATAATTTATTCTCGGTATTGGATCCATACTAATCTTGAGATATTGAAGTTTTCACTAGCCAAGTTAATAACTATACTCCCGACAAAAAAAAAAAGTTAATAACTATACTCAAAATCCGTATACGAACGTGTTTCTCATTAGCACTCTTCTCTATACTAAATATTTTGTTTACCTACTTGATATTAAGTATCTCTTCAAATAATAAACCTACAAAATATTAGCAAGCATCATCAATATACAGTACTCTGTTGGATCCAAAGACAGGGAGTTTAAACCGCGCTTGGGAAAATACCGTATTACATAATTTGGTCCGCGCTCGGAGGGGATGTATAGACGGCTCATACCATCTTAATAAACAGTTTAAAAAAAAAAAAATAAATAACTGTTTAAAAATTCAGAGGAGAAAGAACTAACCAAGATCGGCAGCGGCTAGCCTAACGTAAAGATCCTGACCTCCCCTAGCATAATTTCGGATATCAAAAATATCTCCGGTCCAAATCACACAACCTGACCCACCATTACGAATATCCGTATTAGCAAACGCCGTGCAATTACAATCTTTTAGACACCTCTCTTCACATTCTTTCACTCCAATTCCTCTGTCCACAGTTGTTGCCGTAGTATCCGGCAATTTCATCTTTTTCAACCGCATAAACCCATCTCTACTGTCACAACTAAGCTTTGTCTTCCTCACGCAACCAGCGGAATCATCTCTCAACGCCCATGCTTTCTCATTTATTGGCTTAAACCCTTTGATACAATTACAAACTGGTGAAGTGTTAGAATCGCAATAACCGTAATTCCCACACTCTTTGTAGTTATCGCATAGGTCCTTTGGTGAGTACCATAATTGTTTCCAACTCTGTGCTGTCTCAATCCAAGTGAATCTTTGAAATAATCCCGTGGTGCTTAGGCTAACTCTCCCGTAAATGTTGGCTTTGGTGATCTCGTATGAGTAAGTCACTTCTTCATTACTCGCTGTGAAATTGTAAACTATGTAATCAATTGGTTCCATCTCCGGTATTGTGCTAAACCGGATTCCGTTCCATGGACCGCTCCGGTACAATATGGAATCCTTGTTGCATACGTAAAACTCAGGGAACCCTCTGGTTTCGAGTTTAGTGAAGAAATCTCCGCTTGAAGGATCATCTGGATCTTTCCAGGATGTCAAGAATCTGTTGATTCCGGTTTTCTTATCCCAGCCCAGTTTCATCTCCGGAAGTAAAGTATCTGTCGGAAAATCGAAACTCTGCCACAAAAATCCATCTGGATTGTTGGAGTCTCTGAGCACAAAATTACCGTTATCAAGAAGCTCTGCAACCAGTAAAGACCTTACATCTCCTCTGGTTAGATTCGTCGACCAAACAAGCGTACCGGATTGATCGAAAATGACGAGATTATTGTCGGAGATTTTGAGAGTTCCGTTGGAATTAGAGAGAGGATGGTCTCTGTTTGCAACCCATACGTAGGTTCTTGTAGGAATTTTCTTGTACCATATCCCGAGATACCAACGAGAACTTGATGCGAGATTGAAAAAACCGAGCTCGAAGATTTCACTAGGAGATCTGATGGTTTTCTTGCTTGAGACGGTGAGAGATTCTGTAGCTGACAAAGTATTTGCAGATATGGAGGAAGCAGGAAACAGAATTAAGACGAAGAAGATGAACATGAAGACGAAGGTGTAAGAATGGTAGTAGTTTGGTATAATTCTCATCTCTCTGTAAGCCATTTCCTTACAAAATTTTATGTCATATTATTGAGAAATTTTTATCTTTGGAGATATTTCTGTGGACGTTGTTCTCTTGCCAATAATGTTTCATTTTCGGCTTTATCAATTCTTGGTCTTCTTGTTGGCGTTTAAAATCTATAGACTATAGAATAAAAACAAGAAAAATAATGAAATGTCGTTTTTTGTTAGGGAAAATCGCATTAAAAACGTTCAAAGTGGCAGCGACTGACACTTTAAACCTCGAAGGTTTTAGACTAGCACTTTAAAACTTCAACCTTGTAACTTTAGCATATAAAACCCTCAATTTAGTTTCCGAGTATGCGCCGCCAAATTTTTAAACGGAATAGTTCACTCCGTTAACGGGAACTTCAACTCCGTCGAGAATTCTAATTTCTCCGTTTTGGATATTCGAAAACGTGATTAAATTGATTTAAAAAATTAATATCTGATTTATTCAATTAATTAACTAATTAAAAATACAAATACAGATATAAAAAAAAACAAAAAAAAAACAAAAAAGACCAGAACCCCCAAAATCAAAATCGATTTAGGGTTCGTCGTTCTCTTGAGTAAAAAACCCAGAAACTTGAAATTAGAGTTTCGAGCATTCTGTGAGAGCTTCATAAGGGTAAGTCGATTGTCCTCTAATTGCGAGCTTATAACAGAATTGTGTATGACTTTTGTGAACTCTTAATTTACAGATGGCGCAGAGTTCAAGCTCTTCAACAATGGAGGTCAAAAACGAATTTGGTGTTTTGTGTAAATGTATGCGGGCAGCTAAGATTGTGAAAGCTTGGACAAATGACAATCCTGGAAGGAGGTTTTATGCTTGTCCAGGGCGTAAGGTTGGTAATGGATATGAGTCCTGCAACTTTTTTCGTTGGTATGATGTCGAGAAGCCTCAAGGGTGGCAACATTTAGCGTTGCTTGAGGCAAGAGATGTTATCCGTGACCTGAAAGACGAAATTATGAAGTTTAAGGAAGTGGGAAGAGCACCCAGGCTTAGCGTTCTCACAAGTAGCCACCAGTGTGCTTGTAGACGTTGGGATCTAATTGGTAAGTTGTTTCTTTACCTTCTAATTTTTATAAATTTTTAGTGTTTTATCTTGTTATTTATGTTTTTTATAACAGGTATTCCTTGTCGTCATGCAATATGTGTTCTTGATGACAATCAAGAATCGCCTGTCAACTACGTGTCTCCATATTATTCTACAAGCCTCATGCAAGCCACCTACGCTCATAACATTAAACCTATGAATGCCGCCAAAGGTACATAAGCCTCCAATCCTGATTCCAGAATTTCGTAAGCCGCGAGGGAGACCTCCCACCCGTGATAGAAGAAAGGAACCTTTTGAAGACCTCCAAAACAAGGGCAAAGTAACCAGACATGGGAGGATAATGCATTGTAGCAACTGTGGTGAGGCTGGACATATTAAAAGTGGATGTAAAAACGAGAAAGTTGTTGTCGAGGGACCTAAAAACAGAAGAGGCAGACCTCGTAAGAATCCAGCTGATGTAAGTTTCTAACTCTCCAATTTGGTTTAATGTGTTTTCTGGTTTATTTTGATTTGAAGTTTGATCGTAATTGTTTGTTGAGCCGTATAACAGGTTGTTCCTAAAAGGCCTACAAAACCAAGGAAAAAGAGGAAGACTGATGAAGCTGTTTCAAGCTCACAGCCAGTGCAGCAAGTAGAAGCAATTGACTCATATCCTGCTGCATCTACAGCTCCTGAACCATCAGTCGCTGCAAAACCAAAAAAAACCCGAGTGAAGAAGCCTAACCGTGGAAAACCATTACAGATAACAAAGGCCGAGAACATTCCAAGCGTTACCTCAACATTGATGAGTCCTTTCACTGATAGAGCATTTGACGTCTTCAAGAACAGGGCTTCTCGGTCGCAGCCTCCATCCGATGGAGTTTAGTTTTTTTTTTGCTTTTGTTCTTGCTTTTGTTATTGGATGGAGTTGGATATCTAAGTGGTTTGCTTGTGTTCAGTTTTTTGTTATTGGATATTGGATTTCATGGGTTTTGGTAGACATTGTTGTGTCATTATGCTATGTTATATTAGAACCTAATTGATCATGAATGATCTATATTTATGGTAGACAGGTTTCTCAAGTCATCATAGTGAACCATAACTGCATCATATAACATAGGTCTTTCACAAAAACAAACTGAAACACAAACGAGGTCTTTTCACCAAACTTCGACGGTTAAAAACAACAAAACATATCAGAAAACAGACACAATACCACTAGAGCCTTTCTCAGCACACAAATCCTACATCTTCGACATGGCAAATATGGCTCCCAATGCCACTGCAAACCCAAAAGTTGAAGACAACAGGACATTGCGGTAAATGGTGCTTCTCTCGGTAAGAACCAGCACCTCTTGCTTGAGCGTATCACACTGCTCACAAGTTTCCTTCAACTCACGCCTTGGTGCTCTTCCCACTTCCTTAAACTTCATAATTTCGTCTTTCAGGTCACGGATAACATCTCTTGCCTCAAGCAACGCTAAATGTTGCCACCCTTGAGGCTTCTCGACATCATACCAACGAAAAAAGTTGCAGGACTCATATCCATTACCAACCTTACGCCCTGGACAAGCATAAAACCTCCTTCCAAGATTGTCATTTGTCCAAGCTTTCACAATCTTAGCTGCCCGCATACATTTACACAAAACACCAAATTCGTTTTTGACCTCCATTGTTGAAGAGCTTGAACTCTGCGCCATCTGTAAATTAAGAGTTCACAAAAGTCATACACAATTCTGTTATAAGCTCGCAATTAGAGGACAATCGACTTACCTTTATGAAGCTTTCACAGATCGAATTATGCTCGAAACTCTAATTTCAAGTTTCTGGGGTTTTTACTCAAGAGAACGACGAACCCTAAATCGATTTTGATTTTGGGGGTTCTGGTCTTTTTTGTTTTTTTTTTGTTTTTTTATATCTGTATTTGTATTTTTAATTAGTTAATTAATTGAATAAATCAGATATTAATTTTTTTAAATCAATTTAATCACGTTTTCGAATACCCAAAACGGAGAAATTAGAATTCTCGACGGAGTTAAAGTTCCCGTTAACGGAGTAAACTATTCCGTTTAAAAATTTGGCGACGCATACTCGGAAACCAAATTGAGGGTTTTATATGCTAAAGTTACAAGGTTGAAGGTTTAAAGTGCTAGTCTAAAACCTTCGAGGTTTAAAGTGTCAGTTGCTGTCACTTTGAAAATTTTTTATGTGATTTTCCTTTTTTGTTATCTTATTTTTTTATTATTTGGAAGATAACCAAATTTGACTTCCAATAAAGAATATAACATTTTTTTATTGTAATAAATCACGTAATCATTTGAAAGTTTTGCTGGACAACCACTATATCCCTAGTCGTTGCAAAAACGACTGATGCATTATTTTTCTTGTTTTTATTTCATTTTGTTTTATGCAAGCCTAGAAAATCACCTCGTCTTCTTTTTTTCCTAAACAAAATCACCTCATCTCATTATTTTAAATGTTGTAGTTTTAATATAACCAGATTTTAGCGTAGGTATATTTTAAAAAACTATTTTGATAAAAAAATTATATGCAATTAATTATATATATTAAGGTATTACTTTATGTATATTATTAAATGTAATAATATGTAAAATAAAAGTTGCAGTTTTAATCTTAAAATTTATATCTAATTTGTGAGGTTTTATGGTCTTATTTTAAATATATAATATATTCTGTTCGGAAAACTTATAATTTAGTATAATACATATTTATAAATTGTATATAAAGCTAACTAAAAATATAACAAAATAATTAAATGCTATTTGATAATCATAATATTAATACAAAGATTAAAAAGTTTACATCAGTTTTCCAAAACAAAAAATATCATTTTTTTATCATTTTAGTTTCATCCTTGTTATACATATATATATATATATATATTTATAAATATAACAAAAAATAATAATATAAAAAAATATTTTACTTTCTTAGCTAATTTAACCAATACAAATTTCTAATTTAGTATACTACATTAAAAACAAATTAATAATTACAATTATTGCTTTCAGATTCATGACAATTTTTATTTTGTATCATACTATTTATGTTAACTTTAAATGATTTTTAGTGATTATACCTCACTTATTCCAATCAAAGTGAATAATATTTTTTATTTAATTTAATTTTATTCTCATTATATATATTATCTATGAAATACATAAGAAGCAAGATAGTTAAAAATTTAGCTACTTTAATCAATACAAATTTTTAGTTTAATTTACAAATAAAAAAGTAAACTAAATAAGCACAAACTTTAAAGAAAAAAATTAGCTTTTGAAACCAAAATAAAACTAATTATAGAATGAAAATTAAAAAAAATAATAATTAAAAATACTGATAAAATAAATATGCTTTTCATTTACCTGGAACATACAGAAACTGTAATTTTGTCTGATGACATATATTAAATGCACTCACGATCTTATGTAATTTCAATTTTTATATAATTTTGAAGCCCATATGTGGTAGAAATCAAAGCTGAAAGATCATGGACCTCATGTGTTCATCAAAGGTGAAAGATCCTGCACGAGGTCCTTCGCAGCAAGTGGTTGCGGTGACTCCTCCTTGTGATGAGGCTTACTGGTTGTAATCGAATGCTGCTTAATCAACTAATTGTTACCATTATGGTTCAGGTTGGGTTTTTAAAACCATGTCAGATTCACTGTTATTCCAAGGATTTTCCTCGAATAACTTTGTCTTCTCCGCCTGAATGGCGGAACTTCTTTCTCTATTCTCAGTGTTTTGTTTTTCAAAAGTTTCGGGTATCATTCACTTGACATGTTTCTCGGATTGCTTAGAACTTATCTTTCTTCTCAAATACGGTGGACAAGCTTTGGATAATTACAGTCTCTTTCTCGGCATTAAAGCTGTTTGTAGTGGCTTTGTCTACATTTCTTTTCATCATAATCCTTTTTTAGCTAATAGTTAAACGGATAGTTTAGCCAAGTTGGCTCTTTTACGTTGTAATAACTCATTTCTTATTGAAAGCTAACTCTATTC